TTCACAGCTTAAATTTTTAGCCCTCTGAGATTATAAACATGCTGGAGCCAGCAGAAAACTGATATAACACTGAGCTGTACATTATTTTAAACTGCACTCAAAAATAACGTGTTCTAGGTAAAAGCCATAGACTTCTCCCCTCAACGCAAACTGAACTTAGACCACGTCTCAAGTACCATTTAGTTTGGTCCCTCGCATTTAAACCAGCCACAGTCTCTTTCAGAAGAACTAGGGCAGATTTCTGAGGTTACAAATCTGGAATGAGCTGTTTAAATCCTGTCCCTTCTGGTCACAGTTGGAGGCCAGAGGACTCGTATCCTCTGAGGTGTCGTGTGTGGGACTTGGCCAGGAGGGGCTGCCCCTCTCCAGCCAGTCTGAGTTTCTGGTCTGCAGGGATTTGGTGCTGGTGCAGGCTTGGCCTGCCCAAATAATTTTAACGTGGAAAGAAGGAAAAGGACTAGTTTTAAAAGCAAAGGGATACAGTTTTGGATTGTTGATCAAGCTATGCAAATGACAGGATAAACTGTGTAACATGTTACTGTTAYAAAACACAGGTGTGGTTGGAAGCAAATTTCTGAGATTCTGTAAAAACTGTTGGAGGTGGCAAACGCTGCAAAGCATAAAAAATAAAATAGCAAAGCAGGGGCCTTTCGTTTTCTGTAGATATCTCCCTTCAGAAAAACTGTGYCTGCTGATATTTTATTCCATCAGGTCTGTCATGTTGAAAGTACTTTCAAGCAGCATTAACAAGTAGTTCCTTGAACAAGGAGAGCAGTGCATGTGGCCTGTGTGTTTCTGTGTTGGGATTGATTGACTCTGACTAGGTAAAACTCTAATTAAAGCTTATCTGGAAATGAGTAATTTATTTGAARTCCCTTTTGTCTGCAGAGAATAACTGCAGGATAAGAGTTTCATCTTTTTTCACTAGGAAACTTTTATATAAAGTAAGTTTTATCACAAATAGAACACACTGCCCTGCTTAAATCCAGTCAACTTATTTACCTTGTTTTTTCAAGTGCTACCACATGCAAGTAGAACTTAATTAGTGGGATTGAAACCCGAGCTGTAGAGTCGTGCTGTTGCTCTCTGCCCAATTCWGAGTGGGTGATGCTGCCAGCAACCCACCAGCAGCCAAATGAGCTGTCTGGCAGCAGCCAGAGAGGCTGAAGCAGAGAAGGGAGCTGCTCTGGATCCCTCCATGTTGGGAAAAAGCTCAGTGCAGAAGGGCTRTGCCTGTTCTGCTGATACGGTCTTGAGGATTTAATAGTCCCAAGTGGTTTATGCCTCGCTTGTGTCATTTAAAATAATTGGTTTGCTTTTTTTCATGTAATGCAGATATGCAAGAACTGCACAGGCTGCTTCGATCGGCAGATCCCGTGCGTCTCCCTCAACTGCCCAGTGCTTTTCAAGCTCTCCAGAGTAAGCAGAGAACTGTCAAAGGCACCCTATCTCCGCCAGCTGCTTGACCAGTTTTAAATGATCTGTGTTACAGGATTCCAGGTGCTATTTTTTTGMTTCAGTGTTTACCACACTAAGACTATTGTGCATGGTGCTTTTTCAATTCTCATCTAGTCCAGAATTTCCATTTKAACTGTTGGGTTTATTATCTGAAGAATAATAAACTTATCGTAACTAAATTAAAAAAAACCCAAYCCAACCCATTTGTTGATCGTTGATCTATGAATAGCTCACTTTTTAAGATGTACAAATTTCTTCTTCCTTTCATGTTTCTAACATACTGTTTTATAATGCTGATTGTTGAAATAGCTCTGTGTAACATCTTGTAAATCCATTTCAAAGTAGAAGTCAAGTTTACTTCCTGGAGGGAAGGAGCACTGAAAACCTCTTAAAATGATAAAACCATTTGTGTGTGTTCTTGAACTGTCAGTATCAAGACGTGTTACTTATATATTATCCATTCACTTTATAATTTTGTCTGCGAAATATTTTGTAAATACACTTTTTTACTTTTCAAACAACTGAGTAAAATAATGTGCAATGACTTTTATACAGATAATTTTAAAGTTGGTTGGTATATCTCCTCCTAAGTTTTGCTTGATTCCAAGTAGATTGTTATTTTGATCAGACTGTGCAAGCAGTAGTACCATGTGTAGCATTTTGAAACATTATTTTCTAAAAATTGCTGTCTTGCTTTAGCTATTAATGGGGCATTGTGAGGAACTGTGCAAAGACATTTTTGTTACAAACCTGTGGGACTGTTGCAATACTTTAAATATAAAATTTTATTCCATTTTTGCTTGTTTTGTATAGACATTTCTATTGCTTCTAAATATGCTTAAAATATTTTCTTTCCTTATGTACTGTACAGTTAAATCTTATTTGCCACCATCTTGACAAAATGTGTATTTAGAATATTTGTATAACTGTATAAAATGGAAAAGGAATTATGTGGTCAGTGCATTGTTTTCTAAACTGGAAATCATTTTGTTTTAGAAGTTAATAATGGAAACCATATTAAAGTTGAATAAAATGATACGGTAAAAAATTATATTTTTTTTAATATTTATCCTCAGTTTGTTTCCCTTCTCTGGCACACACAGTAGTGTGAAAAGTAAGGCTGCTCAAATAAATGTTAAGAATACAGCTTAAACTCTGGAATCTAAAACCTCAGTAGCAATTCTTGGAGGCCTTCCCCAAGCCAGAAGAGAAACATTTCCAGTTTTCCATTAGTCAAARCAGGATTCAGTTTTAAATTTAAGAGTCCAGAGGAGCTATGAAAAATAGAACAAAACTTTATTTACATCAAGGCATCAGAGTGCCTTCTCCAGATAAGAATTTATTACAGTCAMGACACAAGCCAGTCTATTAAATGTCACATTATACAGTACAATGTAAAACCCACGCCAAGCAGCAAATAAAAAGYATTAAATATATAATAGAATATCCACAGATTGCAATGCACTTGTATGCARAGTAACTTTAAAAAAAACTAAGATCAAGGCATAAAACTTTGCCTGGTCTWGCATTCAAGCATTGGTCATGTACAGAATAAAAGTGCAAATGCCAGGAGTGTGAGTGCTTGCAGTAGAGTCCAGCACTTGGCAGTGCCTCGGGATAAATAAAGTATTAAATGACACTGAGCTGCAAGAGGTTGCCTTTCACACTGGAGCAGAGCGCTCATCTTCAACCCATTCATGGGTTTGTGGACAAAAATAGGATTCTTATCAAATTCAAGTATTTAATCCATGGATTACAGCTCTTGGCCTCAACAGAGAGATTACTTTTCTAGCATAAGCAGGGCAATAGTAATATAATCAAGTTACTTCAATTCATTTCAACTCCTAATATGTAAGTACTAAAGCTTTCTGGAGGACCTGTAACTTAAAATAGATGTGCACTGTAAACAGATCCTCACTTTACCTGTATGTGCCAGGAAGCAATTTATTCTGGAAGGAAACTTAACACGTGAAAACTAACATTCATTGTCTAAAAACAAGCCCTGAGGAACATGGGCTCTACATGGCAGTGGGATGGGATTCAACATGATACCCATTCAAGATAATTCTTCAACTTCCACTGTCTTACAGTCACTGCATTTTGGATCCTTTATTTCTGGGGAAAGGCTGCTCTTACCTTGGCATTCCAGCCTGTTGTTCCTTTCCTACTACACAGGCCTCCTGCTTTTTAAGGAGGACAGGCATGAATTGAAGTTTCTCGCACAGGATTTAATACAGGCAGTAAAAAAAAAAAAAAAACAAACAACAAAACAAAACCTACATTTTGCACAGTAGTTTTACATTTGTTGGGAAGACACCCATCAGAAACACGAGCCAGTGTGTGCATATATGTAGTAGATAAGCCTCAAAGAGATTACAGCATCTTTCCCAATATGCTTTGATTTGATTTTCTGGGGTTTTTTAGTACTTGATTATGTAAACTSTGTAAAGTAAACTATCCATGTAAACTATCCCTGAGTACAATCTTAAGTGTAGGACATTCTGAATTTGAATTTCATCAAAAAATAGCATATTAACGGGGAGGTTAGAATCTTCCTGGTTGCCCTGTATCTTTCTTTAAATAATTTTTTTCTGGCAACGTGATCTTGGGTATGCAGAAGCTTTTTTATATTGGTGTCATACAGGTATAGTCAGGGGATTGCAGCTCCAGCAGGGAGCTGCCACAAAACAGTTTCCTTATCTTTCATTGTGTGTTCTCCACCTTTTCCCTCCCTCTCCACCAGTGGGATTTGTCCTCACCATCAGCTGACACCACCTAATTGTCACACACACAGAGCACCATGCAGGAGGAAAAATGGGGAAAGGGAAATGATCAAATGCAGGCTCCAGCTGCCCTCATTCCAGCCACTCCCTCAGCCTACCACACTGTTGGCTTCCATATCAAACCAGCTACACACACAGGGCCACACGGACTCAGTCCTGTCACCTGTGCCTGTGCCAGGACTCAGCCTGGTATTTACAAGCATTTACTGCTCCTGCAAAGCAAAGAGAGCCCTCGTGCCACAAGTGAAGCAAGGCTTCATTTTAAAGTGTGGGTTTCATGCCTTGCACTGGGAAAAGATGCCACGGAAGTAATSCAGCAAAACACAACAGCATTTAAGTGCCAGCTGCAAAGAGAGAGGGAGGCCCTGCAACGTGACAACATGCAAACAAAAATATACGCATTTCTCACTGTGAGTTCACTCTGGCTACTTACTAACTTCTTAAGAAGAAAGGAAAAAGCCGTGCAATTCTAGTTGCACACCTGGAGGACAAGAGAGGGAACAAAAGCAGACTTGAAAATCCAGGGCATATCTTAAGATTTTATGTTACACCTAGACCTCTTTGATACTAAGTGAAACCTCTTGGCAAGAAAAATACTAATTGCAAAGTTAATACTAAGTGCAAAGTTAAAAATCCCAACCTAGAGTACATTCTAATCACACAGACTTAAAAAATACTGAAACACATTTGGAGTTCCAAGTCAACAAATGGCAAGATTACTGTTCAGAGAAAGGTAGCAACAAATAGCAGAATCTTTTTTTTTTTTTTTTCTCTCTTACTGGGAAGGCTCTCTAGCATGGCTACTCCTGCCTGGGGCTTCCTGCTTAGCAGCAATGAACCTGCAATGAACCACGGCTTCTCCACTAAGAGGAGTCCATCTCCATGTCATCCCCTAAAGAAATAAAACCCAAATGTCACCAGTCCAGCTGGCATGGGGTAAGTAGTCRTCCTGGAAAGGATTGTCTCCTTGATAATTCTGTCTCCTTCACAAATCTTCACACATTAGGATGTAACACATTAGGATGTTAAAATCCTGGTACAGAAAGCCAGAGAAGTTGCTATAACCTTAATTTAAACAACTGGCTTTAAAATACCTTGTATTAAGTAATCTCTTTTACCTGAAGGGAGCCAATAAGAAAGATGGAGAGGGACTTTCAAAGAGCTTGTAGTGATAGGACAAGGGGGAATGGATTCAAACTGAAACAGTAGGTTTATGTTAGATATTAGGAAGAAAAYTCTTTGTTGTGAGGGTGGTTGAGGCATTGGAATGGATTGCCCAGAGAAGCTGTGGATGCCCAATCCCCCTCTGGTCTAGTGGAAGGTGTCCCYGCCACGGCAGGGGATTGGAACTAGAGTATCTTTAAGGTCCCTTCCAACCCAAACCTTTCTAAAATATGATAATTTTATAATTTTCTGTATACATTTGTTGATTTCAGTGGTGGTGCCATAATTAAAATCACGAATACTTTGGATTATTTAGATTGTCACCACTGTTCAATAAGTCAGAGTTACGCATTTGAGCAGATTAACAATGACCCATTTTGTGCCCCTTCTCATAAACCGCTTTTAAATGACCCAAAGGCATGGTTCCACTCCTAAGAAATAATGCCCAGATTTTTTTTTTAGTCTCAGAACCAGAAATTCATATAGTTTGCCAAAAGGTTATTCAGTTTACTGCTGCTGGGCATCACCTGAAATTTTAACTGATCTCCTGATTACACACAACTTTCAAATGCAGTAAAAACGTTCCTCTTTCATAAGGTAAGAAAGTTCAGCATCACCARTAACAGATTTCTCTCCTCTCTCATGAAATCAGTTTGTGACAAAGCAYCTCAGACCTGCACTTTTCATCCACCCCAAAAACCTGAGTAGTGTGAGCTGCCCCCTTCTTTCCCAGTTATTACAGCATCTCTTACTYGGATGCATGACTCACATTTAGAAAACTTCTCTTACACTTTAACAGTTTTGGCATTACGAGTGCATTTGTCATTTTACCCCACTCAYGTCACTGAGGACCTTTCCACTCCAAGGCACATCCCTGGAGGCTGAAAATGAAAGAGGAGAGAGGGCTGGGAAAATGAATGCCCTGAGCTCTGCACACACCACTGTGAAAGGATTCCTGAACCACTTGACAACAGCTACAGTTCAATTACATTTCCATTAGGAAAAAAAAAAACCCCAAAAAACAACAGAAACCTCAGCTGTGACTCCATTAACTCTTTTCCCAGTCAACATTCCCATTTTGTCTCTCAGGGGAGCCTTCAACAACCACTGGAGAGTCACCCAAGACATTGTCCAGATGGGGCTGGAGAGAGATTTCYGCTGGAGAGTCCTCTGGAATCTTACGGAATCTCTCCGTCGGAGAGCTTTTCAGCTTGTCATTCATTTCTATGACCTCAAAGTCTGCATCATTCCACTCCCTCACATCCTCCTCATCCTCCTCATCCTCAGTAAGCCTCGAGTTCGACAGCAAAGCTCTGCAGGTCTCGGTGTCACTCACTTCTTTGGAGTCATCGTCCGGGGGAGCGTTGGCCAGCTTGTACATCACGGGGAAGAGCAGCACGGTGATGACAGAGGTGACGAAGGCGGTGTACATAACGACGGGAATGTGRTGGAACCTGCCCTGGAGATAGCCCACCACGGCAGGAATGCACATCTCACCCAGCGCYGCGCCCACCACGAACAGAGCGGCCGACTTGCCTTCCACCACCGTGTACTGCTCGATCCAGGAAATGCCGCTGGGGAAGATGGTGGCCATGGACGCTCCGTACACGGCCGTTCCCACCCACAGCGASACTCGGAAATGCGCGAAGAACGCCAGGGCTGACGAGGAGGCAGCAGAGCATAAGAGACTCATCAGGATCATGGTGCCAGGGTACAGGAAAGCGGCGCCAAATATTGCCAGCCCCCTGCACGTGGCAAATGCGCCCCAGAAGACAGAATTTAAAGCAGCTGCTTCGCTTTCTGTCATCTCGGCAAAGACCATTGCATAAGTGAATACATAAGAGCCATAAGTGACCTCTGCTCCCACGTAGAAGAGGAAGAAGACGAACAGGAGGCCAATTAGAGCCCAGTGGTGTTTGGCAAGCTTGCCCTTCTGCCCAGAAGCCTTTGCTTTGTCTTGAGCTGAGCTACCCTTTGCATATAAAACAAAAAAGAAGATGGAAATTAGGAGAATGTATGTCCCTATGATAATATAGGACCACAAAAAGTCTTCATCATGATGGTCTTTCGGTGTCGGTGTCGGTGATGCAGCTGATGCTGTTGGCACAGACTTGAGGACAGACTGGTTTGTCTTTTCAGCCTCTGGAAGTTCTTCAGATTCATAACCTCCCAAAGCCATTTTAGCCAGGATCGGAGCCAAAAATGCACCAGCAGCAAAACTGAAGTGCAAAGCCTGTATGTGTGGCCCAACCTCTGAGCCCCAGGTATTCAGTGCCAGTACATTGCCACCTGCAGATCAGAGAGAGAAGGAGTCATTTCAGTCCGAGACCAGATATGGTTTAAAAGAAGAAAAAAAGAACAAACAATAAAACAAAACAAACCATAATCTACATTAGTAATTCAATGTACAATAATGCCAATGCAGTAAATACAATATGTAAAACAGTAGTTAACTTAAATTCTGCTTTAAATCCAGGTGAATACTTGAGCTTTAGGAGGGTATTCACAGCAGTCAAAACAGAGTCACACCGTGGCTTAACCCAGCAACAGTGGCCAGAGGTAATTGYGCCAGGGGAGGTTTAGATGGGGTRTTAGGAAAAATTTCTTCACGGAAAAGGGTTGTCAAGCACTGGAACAGGCTGCCCAGGGAAGTGSTTGAGTCACCATCCCCAGAGATATTTAAAAKATGYGTGGATGTGGCATTAGGGACATGGTTTARTGCTGGACTCAGTASTGCTGGCTTAAGGGGTTGACTCGATGACCTTAAGGGTCTTTTCCAACCTAGCAACCCTATGACTCTATGGTTCTAATTACCCTGCTTGACAATTTGCAGCATTTTTCAGCCTTTTGTAAAAGGGAAATGTAACTGCTTCTCATTTMTTTAAGTATCAAAAACAACAATGTCCAGTGGTAACAATCAGAGGCCTCATTAAACAACATCCCAGGAAAAAAGACAACTCCCTTGTCTGTGATGGGCTGGGACTACCCCAGCTGTGTTCAAATGACCTTCTAGAAGCAGAAAGATTTACATCAAATACCACTGCAAACACCAAACTACAACACCGTTAGATCAACAGTAATGGTAGAAAATAAGATCTGAGAGAGGTGTTTGAAGTAGTCCCTCAGAAGAATGCAGGAAAAACAAAACAGTAATCAAATTCCTGTGCTGCAGTAGAGCAGYCCTTGTCCCTCAGCACTCTTCCAAATCAATTCAGCTATGCTTTACTGCCTTGCTCTGAGTTTGTTCTGCTACTCCTGCTCAGGCTGGGAAGCCTCCCTGCCTCTGAGTCCAGGTCCAAGCAGTAACACCCACTGAAGGTATTTTTTCCATTAGCTGGCAAGATTTTCCCATACAAAGAATTTTTAAACCAAGTGCCATGTATAACAATCTTACCAGAAGCAGCAAATACAGCTCTGCACTCCATTTATTTAACGTGACCTGTGCCATGCAAAACCATCTCTTCCCTCCTGGATCCTGTGCTGTGCTCTGTTACATCTTACCAGAGCTCCCTCAAACCCCACAGAATGTCAAGAGACAGTTCACATGAGCAGCCAACATTCCTCTGTGTTGCCAAACAGCCGAGCCACCACAGCCAAGCCCTGGCTAGGACACTTGCAGAGCTGTTTGGATGGCTGAGAGAATATGTGAGTCAGCTCTTTCTCAGCAATAACCCTGCCCTGGAGTGATCAGCCAGCTGCTGTAGTACCTTGCTGGTCAGTCAGCATCCACAGGTCCAGACACTGCTGGGATATTGCTGGATAGGTGCCAGGAATGGCTGCTGGTGTTGCTTCATCATCWCTACAGCAAGGTCGGAACACTCTGCTCCCTGATGTACTTGGGGGCATTTCCTAATCTCTATGGGAAAGCGTGCCAGCGTTTCCCGGGGATTGCTAAGTGCGCCTGGATCTCTTGCTGTGGCCTTGCCTCCTGACTCAAGCTGCCTGCTAAAGCCAGCCATCCCTAACCCATCCTTYCCAGGCTGTGCCCAGGGGACTCATTTCCATGGAAATTTTTCACACCTCCAGCATAACTGACTTTTTTGACCACRCCTGTAGATATYTGCTCTGCARCTTCACCAACAYATCTYAGGATTGTAGAATCATKTAAGTTGGAAAAGAYCCCTGAGATCATCTTCCTCCAAGAAGAAGCCTCTACTGAGAAACTGGGTTTGAGCAGCTTTCCAGCAAAAGTACTGGGTTTGGGTTCTTTTTTGCCCAGGCCATTTCCAGTTTGCACATGTCACAGACTTACAATCTGGGGGACAGAACACATCTGTATTCCCAGCCACCAAAGCTTGGTCACTTGGCTGACCAAGGTGGAAAATATCCTTTAATTCAGGGAGATGGGYGCCATGGTGCTGTGAATCCCCAGCTGCTGCTGAGCCAGCTGTAAGAATTTCTCTCTCAAACACCACGGCTTTGCTCAGGATTGGCTTAGGCCCAGCTCATCAATATCCTGCCAGCTTCATGGAGATAAGTGCTACAGAGCAAACACTGCTAAAGAGCACAGGGCACTTCTGTATGTCTGTAATGGCCCACTGAAATGAGTATTGATCTTCTCCATGAAGCAAGAGACACCCCACTCCCCGACCCCTTTAAGGAAGGCCTGTCACACACACACAAACACCGGGAGCCTCAGGACCAGATTAATCCAGGAATCACAGCCAGGTACAACAGCTCCCCTTCTTTTCATTCAAGATGTGGCCCAAGAAAAACCAGCAACTGTGTTGGAAGGCTTGAAGTTTGTAATTATTTTAGTGAAAAACTGTCAGACCACACAGTCCCTTACCTGTGTCCAGAATTCCCATGGAACCTCCAATAACTGACATCAAAACTGTCAATAGCAGGGCTTGCTTACACCAGGGTATCCCATAAAGACCAGCCGTTGTTGCAAGCATGGATAATGCTGGAAAGGTTAAAAARACAAAACAAGAACTCACAACTACAGTTTCCATTTAAACATGGAAGACCAAGAAATACAAATACATTTATGATTAGTAAAGTTACAGATAATCCTAATARGTGATGCAACCTAAATACCTCAATCCATGGTTAGCAGCAGCAGCTAGAAAGTTCATCAGATCATTTTTCATTTGGAAAAAAAACCAGAATTTCATCAGGATATAAACCCTGCATGACAAACCTGTTTGACTAAAGCAAAGGGAGCAGCAGCTCTTGCTAGGACACCAAAAACTCTTCTACAAACGTCTGATCTAGAAACGGGACCACCATGAAACCAGTAAAACATGGTTTTGAACAGTGTCAAGCTTGGCCCCTGAGAATTGCACAATGTTTAATTTGGCTCCATTTATWAAAAAAMCCYAAATCACTAAGTTCTTAAAATCCTATGAAGTAATTGCACCTTGGCCACCAAATGACCTCCATATAAAGATGCTGACTTTTACTGATATTCTGTTCTCACATGAGGGATGTATTCCAAGGGATTCCTGGAGTTTTAGATGGAACTATGAAATTTCTCATAATAAATTTAGCAGCAATTCACTGACTATATTAGTTTTGCCATTATTGGCTATGGTTACAAGTCATTTCAAAAAATATTTTTTAGCAGATGGGTATTGCTTTTATTACTATTGGGAGAAGGTTCAGCAGTTGAATTCTATGCTTATAATTACCTCCATAATAAAATAGCCTGCAATTAATAGCTTGAAGAGACAGATTCTTAGAAASCTTGTACCAGTTCACCTGACTCTATTATTTTTCAAATCAATTCATGATCATTACAGATACTTAAAAGATCAGTGGGGGCTGACATAGTTAAGAATTTAGGTTAATTCCAAACAAAAACAGCAACAATGTCTAGAACCCTAAAGTCCTAGCAAAATACTTGGAATACATGCCTCAAAACAATTTCAAAGATGTGCATGCTGAGCTGCATGAAGAAAACACTAGAGATGGGGTACAGCTCTTCAGGTGTCTCACTCAGACCTGAAAAGTAACTCCTCAGCAAGGGGAGTAACTCCTCAGCTGTCCACTTCAGCTCCACTCCTGAAGATTAGCACTTAAAAGTTTTCTTGACAAAGACAGAAGATGTCTTCATTTTTTTTTCTCTGTACAGTAACTGAGTTCCAGCAGTTGAAAGATGGGAGGTAAAACTACACAAGACAAAATCTCTTACAGACAGCCCTCAAATGATGAAAATGAGAGCAGGTTCAGTAGTTCAAATCGTGGTCTTTCCATAAGCACTACCAAACTGGAAAGGATTAGGAGATCCATCATTTCCTAATCATTGTTGACAGACAGCTATCCTGCATCCTACCTCAGGAGAAGAAGGAAATGCTATTTTAAGTTATTTCAAGAAGGAATAACTATTTCAAATGAGCATGCACTTCCMCAGYTGTGTGTACTGATTCCACTACAGAATGTAAATCCTCAAATGTGAGGCACAGACAACTCTGACCTTGTCAGGTGCACAAAAAGGAAGCTAAAGGAAACCCACTCCACAGGTAGCCTGGAGCAGACAGATAAAGGACAGGGAGGAGATAAGGTATCTTAGAACAAGAGTAAATAAGAAYTGATCCATGAAAATGAAGATGATGAGAGGGGGAAAAGGAGAAAGGTAGACATTATATGCCATGATTGCTCCTTATACAGGAGAGGCAGAGGGGTAAGAAGAGACTTAATTCAAACATTAGCAATGGAAAAAGGGATCTTCTCATGTTCTCTGAACTGACCATGTGATTACAGCATGGTCCTTAAGGAACCATGAAGGAGAAAAGGAGCGAGCCCTAGTACATGTTTTAATCTCCAATTTACTACTTTCAAAGCACTTGAAAGAAAAAAAAAGACAGGACTACCGCTATTTTAGGAGTGTTCTGAGAATCTCYGGAGGAATGAAACACTAACACAACTCTAAAAGGAACCCCTCCTTTCTGGATGCTGTGTGGCTCTTGGCACCCTGAGAGCTCAGCAGCCCTGCTCTGCCTGGACAAAGCCTGTGCTCCTACACGAGCAAGTTTTCACAAGTCCAGAAAACTGTTTAGATCATCATCTGTGGTTCCTACAGTTYAAATGTTTCCACCATCACAGACAGTAATTAATGTTTCCCACCTAAAATACGTTAAAATTTATCTAAAGCCAAAATCCACAGACTTGTGCAGTACACGAAGGTGATGGTGACCGGTGAGTGTTAAGTAAGGGAAAGGTTTTAGGAARCTCCCCCCACAGAAATGCACCTCATGTGACTGCTGGAGGTTTCTGCTGCACGCAGGGCAGCCAAAGCACAGCTTCCTGGTTTGTTTTGTAGCGTGTCACTACAGAAACGTGTGTGTTCCAAGCACATGAACACGTGTGTTCCGCCATAAACATTACTTGATACAAACTAAAGGAAGTCCAGTTGTACTTTCCAGTGCAAACCGATGGCAGCTTCTGGTCAATCCAAGCAGATTTGTTCAGTTCAATACCAGATCCCGCTGCCGCTGTGCCCGGCGGGCCCAGGCCCTTGGCATCGATGCTGCACAGCCCAGCACACGCGGTGTCAGGAGCCACACAGAGCAGAACAGGGCGACAGCGAGCGGCAGCACAACCGCGCCGATCTGGGGGGAGCAGCACCACATCCCACGCCTTTCCCACCTCCTCACCCCGTTCCCGGTGCTCGGTAAAGCTGACACATCAGCCTYCTCGCTGCGAGGAGCCCAAGCTGCCCTGGCCAGTGTCCGACGGAGGGCGCGGTGTCCCCGTCCGGCGKGGCAGCACTCACCGAGCAGCAGGCTGGCGTTCATGCAGTCGAAGAGCACCCCGCCGACCACCGAGCCGCCCAGGTAGCCCAGGGACCGGCCCACGAAGATGTAGTAGATGTCGCTGACGTTCTTGCGGACATTGGCGGCCAGGTTGGGGAAGGTGGGACCCAGYACGGCGATGCTCATCCCCTGCAGGGCAGAGAGCGGGGTCACCTCGCCAGTCCCGGGGAAGAGTCCCCCCCGCCCCCGCAGCCCCGGGCCACCCTGGTCACGGACTCACCAGCCCCAGGAAGGAGGCGCAGAGCGCCCCGGTGATGCACCAGCGCAGCGCGTTCCCGTCCACACACCGGCAGCATCGCCAGCCGCCGCCGGCCGCCCTCGCCGCCTCCTCCTCGCCTTCCCCCGGCTCGATGAAGCGGACCTGCAGCTCCCGGTCGGCCATGGCTCCCGCCGCGGGCTCCGAGGGCCGCTCCGGGCCCGGGGAGCGCRGCCCCGCCGGCCCCGCCCCGCGCAMGGCGCCGGGAGGAGCGGGAGGAGGATCGGGAAGCGGAGCGGGAGGAGCGCCGGGCTCAGCTCCGGGGGCCGGCACCGCCTCCCCCTCCGCCGGGGRCTCCTCCTGGGAATGGGGCTCCTCCTGGGAACAGGGCTCTGCGCTGGGGACCGACATTGCCGCGACCGCTGGCACTCCGCGCCGCTTCAGGTTTGTGCCTCAGTGCCTGAAGAAGTGCCCTTATAAACCATCATTTATTATTTTATTTATTTTTAATCTGTGTTATCATATAAACTGCACTCGACCTTTCAGACAACCGATCATAAAAGGCCTTTGTCTTTTACAATGACTGCGTTATGTCACGCTAATAAAGCTTCGAGAGAGAGCGAGCTGCCCGGTCTCCTAAGGGCAGGTATTAAAATATTCCTGGTACTGAAAGTACCGAGTATTAAAACTACACAAATTCCCACCATTCACGTGGAGCAGCTCAGACTGTGCCACAAGTCGCAGTTCATGCTCCCTGTCCGCCACTAAGGTGCTGCTCCCTGTAAAAAAGACTCTGTTTTTCAGCATGCTAGGTGTGTTTAAGCCTCACGAACAACTCAAAAGCTAATTCCAAACTGCACTGCTTTGTTTTGAGTTGTTCATAAAGATCTACTGGGCTATAATAGTGCACGGACAGTGAGCAGTAGCCCAATCACGTTTTTCCTGRCACTGGCAAACATGTTGCAAACATTTTCCGTTCGAATAGCCTGGGGGCATTGACGCATTGACAAAAATTTAGCTGCTTGCTACAAGTAACCTCGCCAGGTAACATTTAAACCTGATCGATCTCCCGTTCATACTTTAGCAAGAGTGCAAGGTCTGAAGCATRAGATATCTGCAGAACACTGCTGAGCTTATGTTCGCAGGTCCAGTGGTAAAGACARCTCCAGATAACAAAATTTCAACTATAAGAGTAGTCACACACGAGTCAAATCACATTTCTACATGTTAGCATTTTGCCTTGTTATAAAAACAGCTTCCTGAAAAAGGTACMGCAGTATTCGAAATGTCTGCCCCGGGCTTCCCCTCACTGTTGTTTCATACACTTACAAAGAAGCTTTGTACATTGAGAATGTACAAATGGCAACAGCACCCAGGCACTTATAAAGGTTTTGGGCACCTTTTTGAATTTTAATTTGAACTGCAAACAGCCTAGAGAATAACCCCAGCTGGAAAGGGAGTATTTCACCCACATCATCAGATATATTTATTAAAGAAATTRAATATTTGGCCCTACTACAAAGAGAAGGTGGATGAATTCCTGGGACTTAGTGAAGCTGTCAATGAGGAAACACTTCATGCTTCATATCACCAAGGTAAGTCAAAGGGAAGCTGGTAGCAGGCCAGTAAATGATTAAAGGTCCCACTGAATCACACTGGCAGCTCATGAAGCAAAATGAGAATTTTTTTAAAACACGACCCAAGCTTATTTTACCACAGTTTTCCCCYCTCCCTTCTCAATTTTTCTTCTGCCTTTTGTGAATGCAACTGTTTCTGCAAGTTTGATATTAAGCCCCAGAATTGAAAATAGAGAAAATCAGTTTTCAGAAACAAGCAACTCAATAGTTTAGGTTTATAAATCGTTAGTCTTGAAATGGATTGTCAGTGCAATCAGAATGAAATGGGTTATACCATATATTAATTGAGGAGAAAATGTAATGGGGACATTTCAGTCAGACCATAGTGGCAATAAAAGCTGTAAAGACTTTTACACAAAGATCTACACACTAGATTCAACAATTATCAGAAGACAACAAAAAATTACTTTTCAAAATGACAAATCTTTCTCAATAAGACTGAAAATGATGCATGCAGTAACAAATGGGCCAYTTAAGAACTACCATCTTTATTCTGAATTTGAGACTGATCACAGTTACTTTAGCACCATGGAAAACATTAAACATTCATTTTTACCCTTCTAACAYAGCAGAACTTGAAAGAATGGAGTTAAGGCTAGCAAAACATGTATCCTTTAATATCAAAAACAACATACAAAATATGATGTCTGTAAAGATACTTAAACACGTCAGTGTTGTCAATTTAGCAAACATTTTAGTACAAAATCACTCTTACCTTAGCATACTCACTTCCAAAACATTACCACTGTTGACACAATATATATATATAGACTAGAAGGTGTTCTGCACATATGCCAAAGTTTACATGACTGGAAACTCACTGGCTGCCTGGAACTGCAGTGGTGCTGCGCTCGTCAGCAGGGAGAACACGAGCGGATCACTTTTCCCTCAGCCCTCTCTCACATTCCAGTGCCACGTCTCCCGTAGGCAAATGCAGAATGTTTGTGCATGCCCTGGTCAAAACACATTGTACTTATAGATACAAACACACACACCTTAATAGCAGAGGGTCCTTTCTGGCTTCTGTCACACTTCCAGCTCTCCAAGGGGGAATCCAGGCCCCAGAGCAGGCACCGCCTCAGCTCCCTGCTCAGAGGGCACCGCTGCCCTGTGCCAGCACAGGGAGAACCCGGCTGCTTAAGCCGACCCGTGTGAGTGACCTGAAGGATTAGCACTGACTGCCATCCTGCCATGCTCCCTGTGGGCTGTGAGGGATCACCTCCCGTGCCTTTGGAACTGAGGAACAAGGAACTGAGCAGGGCACCCTTACAAAGGCAATGTCCTTTATTTACACCAAGAGCCTGTGATCAAAGAATCCATCTGACACCTGCAATCTCACCTCCCACCGCTCCAAAAGCTGCCTGCCCTGTCAGGCTATGGCTGCTCAAAGGTTTCACACAGGGAAGGCTGGAACACACCACCCACATCGCGTGTGGCGCGCATCAATTTGACAGTGCAGTGTCTCTGAAGGGAAGGGGGAGTGTACCTGCCCAGAGACTGTGAAAGAAGGACTAAAGGAGACCCAAGTCAGTTGTCTGCCTCATCTGATGCCAGCCAAACACACTCTGACGAAAGGCCACACAACACCTAGAGCATCTGTGACTCGTGGGAGCAATTTTCAAGGACAATAAATGGTCACTGGAAATAAAACTAGAAAAATAATTTAAATGGTAACACTGAACAGACAGAAATACGGATGAAAGAAATTCTAACTACGTTATAATTTGAAGCCTGGGTTTCWGACCTGTACAGGTCTTCAAAAGTAGCCAGGACAAATCCAACAATACTTTCTTCATTAGTTATACTTTGGATATTGTTGCATACCTGAGATKTAAATAAGAACCCAAAGGGTCTCCATCATTTCAGACTCTTTGCTGAACAGCTGTCTTAGGATCAAAAGGATCTCATACCTACTGAAAAGACATGAAACCAATCAAACCTTGCTCAAAATTAGCATGGGTTTTGAGGTCTGGTATATTAAATGACAGGATTAGGTGGGACTGGAAATTTCCCACTGCCATTTTAAGTGAACCTCTTTCCACTAATTTTCTTCTGAAGATTCACCCTGATGATGATTACTTTGTATACAGGACAGGAGAATAATATCTACAGAAAGTGCTCTGTGAATTGTTCTCAAGCCAGGAATATAGCACAATGATTTAAGGATCTTCTTGAATTAAGCTACTATTTCAATTTTAGAATCTACCCCAACAAGATTAAATCTGGCATGATTTGGGTCATCAACATAGSATTCCAGCAGGTTTCCCATTAACAGGTTTTCACAGTTAGAAATAAATTGTTACAAAAACTTATTTACATTTATTCAGTTAAAATAAAATTGAATATTCAGTTCTTTTGTCAGTTTCTACAATATTCAATATTTTTAAAGATAAATATACTAAACAGTTGCTATTTGTGTAGGGGGTATTGYGTTTTGGTTTGTCTGGGGATTTATTTGGGTTTTTTAAAGGCAGTCAGATAACTTCATTTTTAAAACCTCGGGGCATACAGAATCTAGCATCCCTCTCAGTAAGTTTCTCAGTGGTTGGCAGCCTCGCCACAAACAATTTGAACTTTTCATCTTACCCAGCTTTAGGACACAAACACCTCATGCTTTTGTCCAGAAAAGARCATTTTCTCCTAGACATTTCCCCCACAGATGGAAGCCAACAGAAAAGATGCTAATGTAGTTATTATGCAGTAACTTACTTTATCATCTCTGAAAAGCCTTTGCAATTTTAGCATTATTGAAAAACAAGCACTGGCACCACAAACTGGTTCATTGTGCAATGCCATCACAGCAGCAGAGCTTCCTTACCCTTAAAGTCTGCTTCTCTCTCATCTAACATCCCACTCACTGGCTGATTTTACCAGAGGAATCACTTCTAAACCATCAATCACTCWTTGTACTCTCCCTTCTACGGTTATGTTTTTTGCCGAGATTTTTACAAATTTTATACAAATTTTATTTTTAGTTACTCAAATATAAGAGTTTGATTTTTTATTTTTTTAACAGAATGGCAATAATTAATTCATACTACTGTTATGCAATTTCCATGTCATCTCTAAAACTTTACAGCAATTATTTTATATACTCTCCCAGATAATTTATAGAGCTACAGAGCAGCAAGTCAGGAAGATGCCATAATTACATCAAGATATCTGGTCACAATAATTTCAAATTGCACCAGTGATAAAAAAGCAGCTTTGTTTTTGGTTTACAACTCAGGGCTAATACACATGAAATGCAAGATCTGTGATGAACACAAATTTATCAAAACAAAACAGTAGGAAATGAGAGTCTTTTACCACACTTACCCAACACCACCTTTTGTGTTGCCCAAATGGAAAATAATACTGAATTACACATTCTACAGAAATACTCCAGACAAGAGCAGCATTGGCTGTCAACATCACTTTTGTAATGAAGGCAGTAATTTTAATTAATAATACTATGCACATATAAATGAATTTTTTAGAAGTACTTATGATGTGTCAAAGCACAAGTCCCAGGGAACCTGAAGGGACGTCTGTTTTCCAGACTGKTTTTTTTTCTCCCCACCTTCAAGTTGCTCCACACATCTCTCTAACATTTTAAGATTCAATTCTTTTAGACCTCACTCRTGTAAAGTAGGGATTGAAATTCTGCAATATAAAAAAAGTTTGAGCTTTGGTCTACAATAATTAGGATGCCTTGCAGGATTATATTTAAAGAACTTCGGTCAGCTGCTAGATGTAAACATTAAATGCAATAGTATTGCTGTTTTTTATGGGTTTTCTGAGCAATTTACTACAACAATGGAAAAACAATGAAAATAGAAAAGGCAATAAAGAKTATCACTTTTAAAAATAGTATGCCTTCATGGTTTATGTAAAGAACAAGAACTGTTACTAATTTTAAAAAGCACTTAAATACACATTTTGTCCAGATCACATTTAGTTTGCTCTTTGCTATGATGGTTTTAAATGAGGCAACAGAAATTACTGGTATCAAATGAACCTGAAACAAAGAATGACTTAGTATTCCAGTGATTATTGAACCATATCCACAAACAAGCAATGTGCTTAGAAGCAGTTTATGATAAACTGAAAAGCAGTGTTTTTAACTCAAAGTATTATGCATTTAAACATTTTTCAGAAAAAGAGGTTTTCAGAAGTACTTGCTTGACAAACAGTGCATAATACCTAAGATTACATAAGCAATGGGGCCATTTCTTYAGGATGTTAAGCAAGAAATAGGACATGCAAAGACATTTCTTTATATTTGAATAAAATATGGAGCTATTTATCCTACAGGCAATTAAGCACAGCCATAAAGACCTGTAATAAACCTGCATGTTCACTTAGTGCAAAAATCTTTAATTGCTGAATGTCATTTTAATAGCTTGTGTATATTTCCACATTAAAAACAACTTGGTATTGCACTTAGAATGTATCCTTTAAAGCTGTCTTGGTTTTAAGAACAAAAAAAATCCTAACAAGTACAACAGAATAATTTGAAATTTAGTCTAATTCACAATACTGCTCCAAAGAATTAGTCAGTACAGTTTCAAAACTATCCACTACTCTGAGGTTTGGCTGAAAAAAGCCTTAAGAGTACATGTACACCTTTAGAGTATTGCCTTCACCAAATTAAAAAAAAAAACAAAACAACTATTATTCAGCAGCTTTACTTCTGAAAGTGTTTGCACTTGGAGCTTGGTTTGTGCATATTCAAAACCTGAGCCCATCAAAAATGCCATCCTTAATGTTCTTTGTTTGGGCTACTGTGAAGGGTGAACGCAAACACAAGCGAGTGTTTCAAGAGGTGCTTAATAATTTAGCTTTCTAATGAAAAAATCATTTCAGCAAAAAGATGCATATTTGTGTTCATGATAGAGAATTATAAAAGACTGTAAACAGCATGAGAAACTTCAAAAAACAGATCATTCATGAGAGCTACTACATTATCCAGTATAAACATCCAGGGGGGTGTGCCTGCATTGGATGGATCATAGACATCACTGAAGAATCCCGAGTCAGTGAAGGAAAAAGAAGCTTTCACATTTCCAGAAATCAGTTCTGATGGATTAGAAAAATATTCTCTTCACACACAGAATCACTACGTACGTACACACTAAAGCTACAAAACTTCAAATACCTTGAAAATGTGGCTTGAAATCAAATTCAACAACTTGTCAAAAAAAGTTCAATGGTATAAAAGATTCTTGTAGCAGTCTTACAATTTGAGYAATAGTTCATGACTTCTTCAGTATTGTATAATATCTTCAGCCAAAAAGTAGAAATCTAGTTTCAGTAGGAGGTCAGGATGGTACAGGGTAAAAAAAAGGCATCAAAAGCCAGAATCCAGTTCTTTGACTGGCTTTACTGTTGTGTCTGACACAAAAGTGCTTTCRTTTTCCAGCATTTTCTCAGTAGTTTCTCCATCAACATGTTTTGCTCTTTCTTTCAACTTCTGCCGTTCATGGATCCAGGGGATGAAACACAAAATAGCTCCTCCAATGATGGGAGGGACTCCAGCCAGGTAAAATGCTACATCGTAGGTGCCAAGTTTATCCCGCAGCAAACCTGGAAAGGCAGAAAGTTACCACTCATAAAATAAAGGGGCCTCAGGAATCTACAAAAACAGGCCTTGGGTTCAGATTCAGAAACCCAGGAGCTGGCACAGACTGTAATCATTAGAGCCTGAAAACCTGATGGCCAAATAGAAGTGTACATGTAAGTAAAAAGGTATTCCAGAGCTGACTTGGAAGCAGTAATGAAGAGCTCAGTAYGTCACCGCTCAACTGCTTAATTACCATCCCTTAAAAACATCCCTTTTGTATTGGAAAGGTGCTCATTTGAACATCTCCAGCACTTGTATCTAGCCATGACTCACAATCCTTTTTGCATGAGCAAATTTTGGAATCCAGTTGRTTTTCAGATTTTAATTTGGAGGCCTTCTGTAACACAAGCAACCAAAAGGCTATTGCTTGTACAGCATGGAAAATGTCAGGTCCTAAATCCAACTGGAAACCTATCTTTTCTTTGAGGAATGTTTGACACCTTCATAACAATGAAAAAGACTGCGTAAACTTTGAAGAGTGCAGTAAATTAATAACCCATGAGCAGTAGTTGAATTCTCTGGATCTTCTCAAGCATACGGCGAGAAAATGTCCAGAGTCGGTGCTCTGCACATGACATTTAATAGGAAACACAGCCAAAAGGTCATGAAAACATAGAAACACATTTACAGCTGCAAACTCTGCCCATACTCACCTGCAATGGGTGGGCCAACTGTCATAGGCACTGACATGAGCCCRAGCAGGAACCCGATGGCCTGGGAGACATCCTCCGCCCCAACGAGCTCRAAGGCAATAGGAGCCATAATGCAAATGAAACACCCATCAAACAGGCCCATGAAGAGACAGACAGCGATGAGAGCCCCAAAGACATGGCACAGTGGAATCATCATTGACATCAGGCCAATAAAAAAGAATGAGGCCACCTAAATGTGAACAAGGAAAGAAATCCATAAAAACGCATTGCATCAAATTTGCAGATCATAAGGGACCAGATGAACTTCCTTGCATCTGCAGTGAATTAACTTGTCTGYCTGTATTTACTTTAAAATAATCAGTCTCCATGGATTACCACCATCAGAAGTTACATACCAAGATAAAACAAACACATAACTCATGGCAAGCAAAGGAATTCCACTACCCGTTCTGCAAGCTTTGAAAATGCCTTTGTAATCCACAGTCCTACAGTGATTGTAAAAGGTCATTTCTCATGCACTAACATTTTTGGAGAAGTTCCTCCCKGTTCTTTCTACAAATAAAAGTCACAGAAATATTAAAAGTTTAAGACAGCTGAAACACTGTAAATAGACTCCTCCTTGTTGTAAGTTAAGTAAAAATACCAGTATTATATTGGTGCTTATATTCCACAGAAATGAAAACATTCACAGTTTTTCCATTTAAAAAGTATCCTGATACATTGGTGTAGTCATGCTTACTTCAAAGATTTTCTAATATAAYCTTAGATAATTTGTTTGATATTAAAGGACTAAAACTGTGTTTTCAGCAAAATGAAACAGAATAAAAAAGAAAATAAAAGACATGACAGTTTTGCTTTTGGACCACCCGTATGTCAGCATAGAAGCCAATGTCCCACCTAACCACAGTAAAACATCAGGGAATCTAAACCAATCCTTGACAGCAAACACTCCAGGAGGAAGGTACTTCTTYCCTAAGAATTATTTCCATAATGCAATGCAGATAATCCCCACTAGATGCCTCCCTTGCTATTTATTTTAAGTGACTAAACGGTGCGCACCTCGCAGCTGCCAATGCCAAACTGAACCAAAACTTTTCCAAAATCCTACACTAACACTGCTAGTTCCTAGAAGAAATAGCATTTATAAATGTGAAGGGAAAGAAGTGTATATCCTCCTTCATCCCCGAGCTTCAGCATTTCTGGAAGTTGGGACTCTTTCTGCAAAATCTTCTCAACTAATTACCTCTTAAATTCCCATGGCCATACCCCTGTGTATTATGCAGTGCCTGGCAAAGATCAATAGATCCAAAATCCTTAATAGAGGAAGAAACTAACCCGTGTTTCTTTCTGCAACCACTATGAAATCATGAGATAAAACAGAGGAAGCAGAGTCTAGAGAATCCCCAAAAGTTCTTGCTCACACGCTAATGATCAGTAATTTCTTTCATTTCCAGCTGAAAACAGCCAGCCGGAAACAGACATCTTCATAGCATAAAAACAAAAATCAGAGATTCATGAACTTTGCACCAAAAGCTCCTAATATCAGAAACCATACACTGAGTTTCCCAGAGTTTTGGAACTTCTCAAATTTGAATATCCAGTCAGTTAATTCTGCTTATTTATTAATAGCACCTGAAACCAAAGCGTTCAGAATACACAGTTGTGAAGGAATAGAGAAACAATAAAGACATACCTGTAAATAAATTTTTTTTGCACCAGGAATATAATCTGCAACTCTGCCAAAGACCAATCTGCCAACTCCTGAAGTAATGCCCAGACATAACAGAAGCACTTCTTCTGGCACGCTGTCGCCAAATCTGTCCTTTACATGATTCATCTGTTTAAAAAGAGAAAATAAATTTGCGTTAGAATTAAAAGATAGACCTTGAAAAACTTGAGTCAAWTAGAAGTAATCTGTCAATCTCAGATTTACAAATACTCATCTGATTTAGTCTGCTTTTACACATTTTAGAATGCAGTATTTAGTGCAATATAATAAAAATATGAAATGTGTTGTGGTTTATCCACGGTTAATGAACTTAATTCAGGTAAACAGGAGGCTCTATCTAATAAAAAAAAAAGAAGATAACCTAGCAGGGTTCTCTCCAAGCACTCTAAATTTACTATTCATAGATTTAAAGTAACACAGATCCCAAACAGGCTGTCTGGAACTGGTTGCTTCCCTGGCTGGGGCTCTCAGGTGTGCAGKGATCAATGGGAATCACTGCAATCCTGCTCTGTGCATTAAGGCAGACACTCAGGCTCCCCAACATAGCTCAGGGCAGGAGCAAGAAGCAGGGAGTAGGAGCCCAGACAGTGCAAGTAGGAGAGGATCTCCAGAATGTCTCATCCAAGATTGTCCAGGGGCAAGGAGGAGGAAGGACAGAAACCAGCTGCAGTGCCAAGCACAACAGCGAGCACTCCCASCAGAGGGTGCAGCCACAGCAGCAATGAGCAGGGCAGAGTGGCAGAAGGATTTATCAGCCACCTCATCCTAAAGAACTAAAGCAATGGAATCAGGATCCGTGCTCCTGACAGCAGGCCATCGACTGTAACAACATGAACTACCAGTGTCAGCAATTACAACTTTCCAAATCATGTWAAAAAAATATTATATATACCACCAGACTGGCTTAATGGATTTGGATTTTTAAAAAATATTCTTTTTGCTTCCACAGTGGTTTTTGTTTGTGGTTTTTGTTTTTCTTTTTTTAAATCAACCCCAAAGACCAGCAAATAACCCACAAGAGATTTTTTTTTGCACTGTTACCTATTGGAACATGCTTGGCAATACTAAATATGCCAAAGTGGGCACTAGAAGATGTGGAAATCATTTGCACAGTCCTGCAATCTCTGCAGGACTTACTCATAAGTAGTTCTGAACAAGAAAAGTGAAAAAAGTAAAATCTCATAGGTGTGAAAGAGCAAAGAAAAGAAACTGATTTTAAGTAAAGACATAGCGAAAACATTTAGAGACAAGGTAACCACAGGCTGGTATCACTTCAAACCAGAGAACGCTTGATTTCCTATCTAGAAAATTAAAAGGTTCCATTTTAGTAAACACTTCTGGAGCAAAATAGTCTAGATTCTTTCCTGACCAGAGTGTTAATATACAAACAGAGCCCTTTTTCTTTCAACAAGAAAACAGGACTTGCTGAGTAGCAGCAATTTTCTTAAGCTATTGGGGTTTTTTTACATGTCACAGAAAGCCTATTAAATCTAATATTAATTTATCCAACATAACTGATTCTGTAAGAAAGAAAGAAAAAACCAAGGGCGTTTATTCCAGTTTTAAAGAAAAACTTCTAACTGAAATTGAAGACTTGTGCTTAGGTTTTTTCTTTGCTTAGTAAGACACATTTGGGAACATAATCTGATGAAATTTTTCACCTGAAATGACATTTATACATAAAAGATAAGCTGTTCTACTTATTCCCTTTCTGGAAAAGGTGAGAAAAGGAAAAGCTGACAGTTTTCCCACCCCTACGTTTTATGTGCCTGTCAACACCTGCTGGCCCAGCTGGCGAGAGCAGCCAAGGTGTTCTTTGCAATTTCTGTCACCTGTTCCAAGTTCCTGCAGCCTCTCCTGTTTAATTAGCAGCCCTGATCCATCCACTCCCTGGAGGCTTTTCAAGAGGCAAGATAAAGCTCTGTATCTAGATAACTATTAACCCTGCACCTGCAACTGAGTAACTGGATTTCTCAAGGTAGCACAGGGGGTGAAATGCTGTCACTCTTAGATCAAYGAGGGAAAATACTGATGCAATTAACCCGTTCAGCAAGAAAATAATCTCTACTCATCTCAAATTTGAAACATCTAAATTAATATTTATTTTCTTAGCTTTCACTGCTCTTAAGYACACCATAACCTTAAAGAAAGCTTCCAGCTAGATATAAGGAAAAACTTTTTCCTTGGGAAGGCAGTGGCACAAACAGTCCAGAGAGCTTGGATCAGTCTCCTGCCTTGGAGGTTTTTCAGGACCAAGTGCACAAAGCCTTGAGCAACCTGGCCTGAACTCTCARAGCTGATCCTGAGATCCTTAAGAGCATATTCAATTTTCAGTGGTACAGACACCAAGTCAGCTGTAAGCAACAGCAATATTAACTGCCTGAAAACACAATGATTCAGGACTAATTCAGCATTGCAAGTGTTATTACAGGTTAAATAGATTTATGATGAAGYAGCTCAAGCAAGATTCAGATTTCCACAGCTTTTTAGCTGTTAGAACTACTCAAAAATCCCATAATGAGCAATTGCTTCTGAACCTTCTCAGGGATGAATGCCCTCGTTGCTGCAGAACTATGCAGATTGTAATTATATGGCTTTTCAGGCATTACCTACAGTAGCCAAATAGGCACCCAGGCACACAGACACAAAAGCCAAAGCATTTCACTGTGGGTTGTGCCTGTTCTCAGTAACRTAGCTGCCTCTTCACTCAGGGCTGTTTGCATGCTGAATTGCAGGTCTGATTTTTCCAAATGTAAAAAAGATCTGGTTGGTTCAAGGCAATGTTACAGTCCAGAGTAGCACAGCTTCTTTATTATTTAAAAATATATTATATCTTTGTAAAATCCAGTTTTCCAAATCAAGATACAGTGAAGAATAGAACTGAATGTATCCCTGGCATCAGCATTCTCCTTTATACCCGTGCTGTCTATCAGGGTGACACACACAAATCTTGTCCAAATTCTCATTACTGYCAGAATGAGACTAGAAGATGTGTCAGCTACTTTGTAGTGGCAGGAATGCTTTCAAATATACAGTCTTGGTTAATCTCTCTCCATCCAAGCAAGACCCAGATTTTGCCAAGGCCTTCCCTTCACTGCACACACATTTCAGCTACATTCACACAGTGAATCAAAGACAGCAATCTGAGCAAAGCTGTAAGTTTCTTTTTTTTCCAAACACAACCTTGAATCCGAAAGAAGTGGTTAAGAACTAGTAAGAAATAATTCTGTCAACCACTTTCTTCCCATCTATATTTCATTTTAAGGATTCCCAATCAAGCAAATCTTTAGTAGGCTAAATGCAATATCATCTCAACAAAAGAGATGGCCAACAGCAATACATAACCTAGGAAACTTGGAGCACATTAAAACCACCATTTTCTTCAATTACTGATGCAAGTTCTGATGTCTGACACTTTCACTCAGAACAAGKGTAAGGATGAAAGGAAATGCTTACTGAGTACTGCTGGTACCATTTGTATGCTGGAGATACTATTACTAACTGCTGCAAATTAAGTTTCCTGAAAGAGCTGAGGGGGTGTAGAAGCCTGGAAGATAAAGGGGCTCATGTGCATGTCTCAACACTGATAGCCAGATAGCTGTGGAGCCAACCAAGGATTGTTGGTAATAACAGCCAAGGATTGTTGGCAAAAACAAACTGTGAGAAAGAACAGGATGTGGCTGGAGAAGGGGCCATAYGAGGTAGGGCAGCACGTTTCCAGGACAAATGTCCTTGCTCTGGCTCCTGGAGATAAGCACAACAGARCAGTGCAAGCACAGGAATGAGGTCGAGGAGCTGGCATAGATTGTACAGGGGAATCAAGACCAAAGACCCCMAAAAYTCYTCCACAGCCATTTCCAGGAAGRTCTACAGGAAGAGAYTGTGCATAARTTTTTCACTTTCTATGCAAAACAYTTATTTCCAGRGCAGAGAGAAGCAGAGCCATTGAATCCAGGTGGCACCMTGGCCATTCCATCAGCTGGATCAACACTGCAGCCAGGACTGTGATCTCTTTCCTTGCAGTGAACTGTCCTGGGTGACTGGAAGTTTCAAAAAGTGCTAAAAAGCAGAGCATAAAGTAACTTTGGACAAGTCACTGTTTATTCTCCACCATGTGGACTCACCACAAGAAATGGGGGGAAAGAAGGGTGAGAAACAGAAAAAGAAACTTGGTTGCCAGCAAGCTTTATGACACTGGCACTGGGAAGATCATTTAATGCAAATATGTTTTTGGTCCAGACTCCACCAAAGAAACTTCTAATGATGAGCAAAAAGCCAGCAAAATGAGCCAGCAACTCCTGAACTTCTACAGAAAAGATGATCTTCATGATACGAGAGAGAAACAGCATTACTAATACCCAACAGGGATCAATTTTAAAGAGAGTGCCAACATCCTGAGATAATTTCTATGAAATGTTACTGTAGCTAAGTGTCTTCACATGACAAATATGCATATACACATCTTCAAATAACTCCTGCATACATACTTGCCCCAACACTGGTAATAGCTCTTTTTATCTCCTGTCTATTTAAACAGTGTAATGAACAGGGAGMAAATTAAATAAACAAGGTGATTATTACATGAAAATAGGGAAATTTTATCTTACTTCATTGAGTAAAGCTCATTCTAAGTTTCTAAAGTAAAACTGAACACAACAGTTAACAGCTTAACTGTTAACTATTCAACATAAAAACCCCAAGCATTAAAAATTCAAAAYTACTCAGGCTGACAGTTACATAGTTAAAATGGTTTTGAGGAGCTTTTCCCAAAAATTAGCTAGTCCTAAAGCCATATGCCCTAAATAAAAATAAAAAAAAAAATAATAAGAAGAATAATAAGAATAAGAATAATAATATTTAAATATCTCAGAGCTGTTTGTCAGTATTATCCTGAAGAGCATGTAAAGGAACCCAGTGGCTTGGTGTGGCTTGGACAGCAGCAGCAAGACAGAAAAGGCACACAAGCATCTTTAGAAGCTCCCAGAGACTGAGCTCAAGGATGAAGAAAGAAGTTAGGGATCCACAAGAACTCAAGTGTTATGTACACGAGGGATGAGACTTAAATTGTTGGATAAAACTTACCCTTTCAAAACGTTTTTTATAATTAT